GCCCCCTGGCCGTATCGACGTCCGAGCTCCGCAGGACCTTCAGCCCTCCTCGGCAGGGATGGAGCCAGAGGGGGAAACGCCATCAGGAGGTTAGCCCCTCTGTTGCGCCACCTCTCGCCAGCGTTACGCGTGGTCTTTACACGGCCACCTACGAGGCCCTGGCCCCGAGGGCTGGAGAGCTCCTACGGCGGCTCTAAGGGCACGGCCAGACCAGCTGCCCTGGGGACCGACGGCCTCGGGGTTCCCGTACCGAGACACTGCGCAGCATCCAGCCTTGAGCTTCCCGCTAGCAAGCTGCTGCTCTGCCGCCGAGCTCGGGCTAATCCCCGCTCCGGCCCTGTTCCTCCCCCTCATCTCCATCCATCCCAAGCCCCACCTTCGTGCTGTCCTCTCTTAGGTTGTTCCCTCCCAACATAAGCCCGAGGCCGTACGTCACATGCCATGAAACTTGTATATACCGGCAGAGCCAAATTCTCCTACTCCAGCGGTCTGAAGCGTTTTACCCCCGTAGCCAGCAACTGTTGGATGGGGCCTGGCAACCACTGTGCTCCAGCCAAGGAGCCTCTGTCATGCCCGCGGCATGCACCGCTCGTGGCAGTGAGTCGCCGTTTGCCCATCGGAGCCTCTCACCTCCTCGCGTTGCTGCTCGCCGCGGCAGCGCAGAGGAACCTGGCACGTTTACGCTTCGGTCTCTTTTCGGGGATCTGTGCAAAGTCAAACACAGAATTAAACAGAGTTGAGGCCTCTGTACTTAGCTGCTGCTGAGAGTCGGGCATTAGGGGTATTTTCTTCTGGCATAGTGTTTAGTACACTGAGCAAAACCGCTTTTCATTTTTGGGAAATAAAGCGGGTGCATGTGTGTGCAGCTGTACACGTGCCTGTTAATTTTGCCCCAGTGGCTTTTCTGGGCTGTCAGCTGAGACGTTCTCTGCTAGCGTAACAAGTCTCGACTGTATTTGAAAGAAATCTTCAGCGAAGAGGGCTTTATGTAATGAAGCAAGAAATGCTGCCAAATTTCCAGGCCTGATCTTCAGTCCATCAATGTCAACAGGCGAATTCCTACCCAGCTTGATTGGGGGGTTGACCTGAATCTGGGTAAAGTGGTTAAAACTCTCCGTTCGGGTCTGATTTGCAGACAAGCCCATTGCTGCACTTTGCTGCGCCAGAGAGGCTGTGGGGCTGCGCTGAAAGGCTGACGTTACAGGTGGGACTCCCCTCGCCTGGTTTTTGATATCTTAAAGTCCAATAACAGATGGACAAAGGAGGGAGACAGGAACATTCGTCTCATCCTAAGCCAGGAGTCCACACGAGGTGAAATGAATTGCTCGCTTTCCTGCAGAGCAGTTTTGCACCGTGAGGATGTGCAACTCAGCTGAGGAAACCCGACAGCACTAAAAGGTCTCTGCGGCCGAGAGGAAAGGACTTTGCTCAGAGCCAGTCCATGGAGAGCATAGGTGCCGATCCAGGCCCTGGCACAGCCTTCCCAAATCTTCGCCTGCGCTTGTGCTGGCCTGGAGCTAAGGATGAAACCTGGGTCAGGATCAGCCCCTCTGCCCCTCACCACCCCTGGGAGAAACCGGGGCTCCTGGCACAGTGAGTGGCACCAGCTAAGGAGCAGGCACTGAGCAGACCAAGGACAGAAAAAGCAAAGCGGTGACTGGGGGGTCCACTTTCCTGGCTCAGACCCCCTCCAGCCTGCCTTCAGGTCTAGGCATGGGGAACAACCCAAGACCTGCAGAGCTGGGGGTGCCCAGCCAGTCCCTCTGTGTGCGGGCTCAGCAGTGATGGGATGCCGCAGCTCCCACCAGCCCACCGGATCTGCCGGGAGATGCAGTGTCTTTGATGAGATCCACGCACAAAGACGGAGAGCTGGGCAGCTTTCAGAAACACCAGCATTTCTTCAGGCAAGGAGGGAGAGAGTTCAGAGAGCTGGCGAAGCTCCAGGGAGGTCCCAGCTCCAGGGACTCTGTGCAAACAACAGAGGCCAGACCAGGTCCTGACGTCCTGAAGGTCTTCCCTACTGCAGAGACAGAAGAACGTCCTCTCATTCGTAAATTTAAGCTTTGCCTTTCGATTTCATCTGGATGAGTTCAGAGCTGACAGTTTCAGAGATGCCCTAGTGCTTTGCTGGACCCCTGCCAGGCGCCGAGCACGTTTCAAGGACCTACCTTGGTCCGTCCTGGCCCAGCGCTGCTTCTCTCTGGGAGGATGGGGCCTCACCGTGGACGGTCTCGCCAGGCGGACAGGCGGACGGCGTTCCCTGCAGCTCCTGCTCTGCAGAGCCCTATGCAACTTGTCGCTTCCTGCTGCAGCAGGCAGGCCTCCTGCCCCAGACTGCAGGCCAGCTGGCTTATGTCTTCCTGTAAAGCTTTAAAAGAAGCCGGACGATGCACGATTGAAAGCATTAAGTGTTTATTTGCACTTTAGACATATTAACGTTGTCTGTAAGCTAGCTGCGACTCCCGCTGTGGCACGGCGAAGGTGGGGCGGCACGAGCAGCAGCTGACGGTGAGAAATACTGGGCTTCGTGCCAAAGAGCGCAGGGTTTCATGTGTTGGTACTTTCCCAGTATTGTCTGCTTTTAACAATTATTGAAAATTACATCACTCTTTTCACAAGAAATGAAATATTCGAGCTGTTAGCGATGAGAATAGCAAGAGGGAAAAAGTAAACCACAGCTCGGCAGCCTTTGCTTCCCCGAGAGGCAGAGACCCTCCATGGCCTTGGTGATAGCCCGCCCCGGAAACAGCGCAGAGCCTGCCCTTGCCCTCTAATCTTGTCTTCATAAGCCTTCAAACTAGCATTGCCTCTCTTCGGGCAAGGCTGGGAAGAGGACCGTAAAACAAGTATTGTTTAAGGTGTGCAGAGAATCTACTCATATCTTTAAAAAAAAAAAAAAAAAGCATTTGCCATTCTGACTGTCTTCAGGTCAGTGGATGTCTCCATCTACCCTTTGAGCAGTGATTTCAGAAGTGCAGAAGTGTATGATGCCCATTTCTGAATATTCACTAGGATAAGGCTGAAACTCATGGCTACTTTGTAAACTGGGCTTCCCACCCACTGCTTAATGGACACGGTCAAACACGCCAAACTGCTAACTCTGAACGCCTGTTCATTTTTATGAAATTATCAGGAGAGATTTCCACCAAGTTTAGTGTGCAATCAGACTTGCTAGGCACAGGTCTGATATGCAAACGCACAGCTGTTATGAATCTAGGTTTGTGCACGCACAGCCACAAGCAAAACTATGCACAAAGGCCCTATCACGGACCTATCAGTACTCTCTACAAGCCTATTTAAAAAAAATATCATTGCCACAATTTCAGATACTGTAGAGTCAAACTTTTCACGCAATAACTGTGTCAGCTGCTGTTGATAGCTATCATTAATGGCCACAAATTGAATTATTAATGGCCACATTTAATCCTTTGATCCACAGCTATTACTAGGACAGCTGCGGTCAGGTTAACACACACACACACACACGTCAGGTGTGTATTTGCATGTCTAGTTTCTAATGATGCAAGGCTAGATGCAAGAGTAAAGTGCAGCCACCCACCTGAAGATTTGGAAAGTCTCCTGAGATTTGCCTTTTGACACCAGTCGTTCAGACTTCTGCAGTCATCTCCTTACAGAACACCAGCCTCCAGAAACTTTAAAATGCCAATTTGTTGTTGTCTGCTATATGCTCTTCCAGAAAAGAGTGAGTAATGCTAACATACTTTTTTCTCCTGCAAAGGAGGTGGGCTGTAGAAGATAACACAGATCCTGAAGCAGCTCAGTCACCCAGGAACAACTTACAAAGGAACTGGCACAGCTTAGTCATATATTTAATATCTGATATTTTTATGAACATTTCCATTTCCAAAGCACTTCCCCTCAAAATCTGCCCTTACAGCACTCCTGCAAGGTAGACAGTTAATTCTCTTTGCTTCTCCTGAGGTGAAGGGGAGAGTCCTGTCTCAAATCCACATCTTGAGCTGGGTAACTCAGGGCTTGTCAGAAAACTCCCGCTCAGAGAGAATGATGTTGATTTTCTTCTCATCTGTCCGGTGCCTGGCTTCACTCCTGAAGAGAGAGCGCAGAGACTGGCTGGCCCTTTGCTGGAGAGTCCTCACGCGTGACACGCGGTCTTCACTGGTCATTATGTAGAGCAGGGGGTTCAAGGCACTGTTCAAGCTGGCCAGGCCCCGGGTCACCTGGTAGGAAATGTAAATGTTCTTTAAAGTCTGTGTGCAGGACCCTTGCAGTTGCCAGCTTCGAGACAACAAGTTGAGGTTTCTGAATATGTGATAGGGCAGGAAGCAGAGCGAGAAGAGGACCATCACGACAATCACCAGTTTGATGCTTCTTCTCCGTAGGCTGGAGTCCACAGTGTCGTTCCTGCAGAGCACCACAACCACATGGCCATAGCATCCGATGATGATGAGGAAGGGGATGACAAAGCCAGTCACGGTGATGGCTGCGGTGTATGGCAAATAAATGCCCAGGCTCTTGTGGTCCGTTGTGTCGTGGCACCGCATCCCTGTGTAGTCCATTTTGCTGAAGGCGAAATCAGGAGCTACCTGCGTGATGACCCACACCCAGACCATCAAGCTGAGCCACATGGAAGAGGTCAGAGACTGGCACCTGCCCCGCATCTTCATCGGGTGCACGATGCCCAGGTACCGGTGGACGCTGATGCAGGTGAGGAAGCAGATGCTGGCGTAGAGGTTGAGGTGGAAGAGTCCCCGGGTGAGCCGACACCAGGCCTTGCTGAAGAGCCACACTCTGCCCTGCAGATAGTAGCTCACCAGGAAGGGCAGCGTGCTGACGTACAGCAGGTCGGCCAGGCCCAGGTTGCCCACCAGCAGGCTCAGGGTGCTGGGCGGGCTCCGCTGGAGCCCAGTCCACAGCTGCCACAGGCCCAGCCCGTTCCCCACCAGCCCCAGGGGGATCACCACCAGATAGACGGTGGGCAAGAAGTGGTGGGCGAAGGCCATGTTCACGGGGCACGCTACCCCGCTGCCGTTGCCTGGCTGCGAA